TGGCGTTAGACATAGTAAATAGTAAAGTAAGGCGCATCTAGGGGCATTGCCACTTAAAGGGTTAAGAGAATACATTAAATCATTACCTTGTGCATATTCGTCGTATGTGTTCTGATTCACCATACGTTCAACTATCTTGGCTGGTCTGGCAATTCTCGTCACATCATCCCCCTGGACAAGAAATGAATACGTTATTAAAATATAACTTAGTCTGTTCACTAATTACACACTGGAAAAAATTGAAAATCCATAGAATGGAAATTGTATGGACCTTTATTGAAAATAAAATGGAGTAATAAATTTACTTTAGTAATAAATAAACTTTGCAGTTTAGTACGCAAAACAATGTCAGGTGACTTGATCAAAAGTTTCAGTTTACATGTACTGTAGCTCAGCTGGCACTAAGCCGCGGTAGTACTCCTGGTATAATCTTCCGAGTCAAACAGAAAGCACTCTTTTCATATGTAATACGGAGGTAAAACTAAGGCTCCAACTAAGGTATTGCTGGAATCAAATTTGGATCGCACCTGACTTTCCATCTGGCTCATCTTCTTTTTCTTGTCATCATCTTTCTTGTTCGCTTTCTTTGTTTCCTTTTCCTTGTTCTTCTCCTGGAGAGAAAATGGTTGGATAGGATTGTATATATAGGAAGGTATAAGGACATGTATTCACGCTAGGAATTTGGTAAGAAAGCAGGCATGTAAACTTTGTTAATATAGGCGAGCAGTCTTGCCATTTGGATTCACACTAACGCCTGTATTCTTAAAGCTCACTCACACTCACATTCAAAGAGTGGAGGTTCAATCTGAGCTTCCCTTGAGTGTCTTTGCTGTTTTTGAACAGCTGGAGGGTTAGTCTCGTATTTTACTATGTGACTACTCACCCTCCAGGTACTCCAAAAACAGCACTGAACCTCATGGGAAAGCTCAGATTGATCCTCCACTCTTCGAGTGTGCAGCGTGAGTGAGCTTTTAGAATACAGGCATAAATCATAATAGCTGTATACCAATAATGTATTTTTTAAAGTTATAACTCAGGCCTCGCCCTTTGATGCCATGCGCACCTCTGCACACGCCTTACCTCGTCAAAATGCGCAATTTGCCACGCGTCTCATTTGTTTTACCGCACGCCTCGTGTTTGCAACTACGCGATTTCTTTGCATGAGGATTAATTCACAACATTTACAGTACTTTAACTTACTAGCATTGCAGAAAATGTTGCAACGTCACAGCATAAATTCTTATTTAGTTCTCTGTGTGTTAATATTAATCTAGTCGCTACGGGAGTACTGGACGACGTGTGATTTTTACTGTTTTGCAATAGTGTGCCCGACCTTTATAAATAAATGTAGAACATGCATGAATAACCATGACTCACCTGTCTCCGAAGATCTTCGACATAGGCATCGTAGATTTCCCACTGTAACAAAGAAAAAGAAATTATCTGAATATCACGCAAGAAAATTTACAGGATGCATTACCTGTTGTGTGCAAGGCGGACTTTCATAGAAAAAAAGTTTGGGGGATAACAGATTTATAAGATATATACAAACCTGATTAGCTGTAGCTGAGAAATTCGCCCTGGGAGGAGGCTCAGTCTGAGTTTCACGCTCCTAGTAATAAAAAAAAAATATAGTCGTATATCGGAATGTCAAAATTCCTAGTTTGATTACATTTAATTCTAAAATCTCGATGAGCTGTGTAACTTATTAAATTGCATTGTGCTCAGATGCACCCTGATTTGTTATTTTACATTGATCCTGAAAACACCGACCTTTAAAACACAGACCTAAAAACACCGGCCTGAAAACATCGATCCTGAAAACAACCGAGCCTGACTCCATTAATAAGTAGAAGATAATCTGTTACCCTGTAAGGATTGTTGTACGTCTGTGAAGCTCTCTCGCAGTAGTTGAATTGATTGGTCAGTTTCTTTTCTGTTTGTGGTGCTGTAGACGCCTCAGTTTTCTCCGCCTCCTTGCCTTCCGTCTATAGAGAAAAATAGAAACAATCAAGTGAGTTTTGCTATAGAGTCATGCATATCTATTTTTAACCAATAGACTTGACAAGGCTATATAATTCGCCCTCTTATATTGCTTAGTACTTTGTCTAATGTCAAGTAATGCAGTAGCAAGTAAGTATTAATATTTTACTCTGTCTAATGATTAGACAGAGTACTCTAATGCCAGAGAAAAATTTAATGATTGTCATGCCAATCATGGAGAGAGTGTTGCACAATTAATAGATTAATTTGCCATCTCCGGGGCATAATCCTGTTGGCCATAAAATGATATTGATATTTTACTCTGTCTAATGCCAGACGATTCCAGGGCTCGAAATAACGTTTTCAACGTTCCCGATCATGTTGATAAGCAGTCATGATTTTCTGCCGATCAAATGAAAATCTGGCCAATCAGTATATAGGATACGTTCCGTTTATATGTTCTGTGATAATACCGTAGTATTGCATGGTGTTTGTTAACGACATTAACAATGTTTTTGAGACGATGGTTCTTGCCGATCAAGATGATCGACAATCTTGCTTCTCTGCCGATCAAAAGCAATTTCCTGCCGATCATTGATCGTTGATCGGCCGTTATTTCGAGCCCTGCGATTCTACCAGTCAAGTAGATGCTCTTATCCATCAGTCAATATCAGCTTAAAATTCATGTTCTATTCTAGCTTACATCAGCTTCAGTCGTATCTTCTTCATTTTCATCTTCCTCTTCACTGTCAGATCCTAGAATATTCAACACAAGATTATTACAACATCACTTAATATTTCAAACTGTAGTTTCAGCCAATTTCTTCTTCAACAGAATTTTTAAGAAACTTTAGTATGTACGTAACAAGTTAAAACAAAATTTACTGACCAACAGCGACTCCCTGTTTCGTTAGCTGTCTCTTCGCTTCATCTGATTCCTTATGCAACATGTTGCTACAAATAACAAAACGACTGCTCGTTAAAAAATGATGGCCATTGGATGTTAAAGGCTGTACCATACTAACTCCTGTATTCCAAAAGCTCACTCACGCTCAAAGAGCGGAGGTTCAATCTGAGCTTTTCTTGAATGTCAATGCTGTTTTTGAATAACTGGAGGGTGAGTAGTCACTTAGGAAGGTATATGATGTCCACTAACACTCCAGCTATTCAAAAACAGCAATGGCACTCAAGGGAAGCTCAGATTGAACTTCCAAGTGCTCTTCGAGTGTGAATAAGCTTTTAGAATACAGGTGTAACAGTAAGGCTCTCAAACATGGGTTTAGCTGCATGCAGAGGCCTGTCCACCCGTCTTTCGGACAGGTATTTTTGATTGAGGACATTTACAACTATAATATCTGGGTGCGATCATTCAAGATTTCTAGTCGTACCGGACTGGTACGCCAATGGTTGTTGCCGCGTACAGTGTACTTGCGCTAGAACAAACTCAGTACTCAATGTGTACTTAGTCTTCAAAATAAGGTTCACAAAGTACAGGTTTCTGAAAAGTATGTTCAGACTACGAGGTAGCAAACGGAGTTTTGCCATTTGTAAAGGGTGTTTTGCTATTTGAAAAGGGTGTTTTGCCATTTGTAAAGGGTGTTTTGCTATTTGAAACGGGTGTTTTGCTATTTGAAAAGGGAGTTTTGCTATTTGAAAAGGGTGTTTTGCTATTTGAAACGGGAGTTTTGCTATTTGAAAAGGGTGTTTTGCTATTTGAAACGGGAGTTTTGCTATTTGAAAAGGGAGTTTTGCTATTTGAAAAGGGTGTTTTGCTATTTGAAAAGGGTGTTTTGCCATTTGAAAAGCGGGGTGTTTTGCCATTTGTAAAGGGTGTTTTGCTATTTGAAACGGGTGTTTTGCTATTTGAAAAGGGAGTTTTGCTATTTGAAAAGGGTGTTTTGCTATTTGAAACGGGAGTTTTGCTATTTGAAAAGGGAGTTTTGCTATTTGAAAAGGGAGTTTTGCCATTTGAAAAGGGAGTTTTGCTATTTGAAAAGGGAGTTTTGCTATTTGAAAAGGGAGTTTTGATATTTCAAACAACCGACTCCAACGTTTCTTAGTGCCATCAGTGCAATCATGTTTCATGCCAAGACATCTCAGACACATGATATACCAACTAAATTACGGTATTGAATACCTTGGACTTGGAAAGGTCATGTGGTACCAGCAAAAAATAAGTACGCAGATAACAAGAGTTCCGCGTACCTACGTGGTACGTGGCTGAAAACAAAGAAGTACCAGACTGTCCAGACAGTAATATTGGCGTACAGGTCTCAGGTACGTAAGTACGCGAATTATCACACCCTGACTATATAAGCTTACATTTGCTATAACATATTTGATATCCAACAAGCAAACAACTTACAGTTTCTTATACATGTATTTGCAAAAGATTTAGTATTCTAAGTGCTGATTTTAAGAATAACTTTGGTGATTATGTTAGCAAGGTCATGCATGAATGCAACCATGCTATCCAATTTTGAGTGCTGTTTTACATGTGTTCTTTTGAAGATTAAACATTTGACTACAACATTATTCAAAGGGAATTAAACACATCTTTTTCCAGGAGTGGGGCAGGCCCGGCGCAGCAGTAGCACGTTTGCATGGGCCAGATTTCTAATCCTGGCCAAGTCCCTGCTCTCAAATCAGTTATATCCAGTATCAATACAAATGTGCAGACAACATACCCATCCATTGAAAAATGAATAGCCAGCTGATCGACGCTTGAAAGAGGCTTGAACGTTTTGTCCTTGTGACTGAATCTGACAATGTTATTGGGTGCATGGGGATTGTTTGCTGTTAAAATTCTGGTGAACTCTTCTTTTAATTCAACCTCAGTCAATTCCAACTGGTCACTTGGTTTTATCAGCTGCTTCGGCTAAAACGCGATAGTTTATGATATACGGTTTGTATTTAAATCCTTCAACCCATTAAGCCACAATGCGTCCCAGTGCGCCCCACTTTGTTTTATTTGTCTAATGCCAGACGATTTTACTCGTCAGTGGGGAAGCTCTGCAGCTTAATGGGTTAACCAAAAACTCTGACAATGTCTCCAGTTAACCTTTTGAGCAGCAATGCACCCCAGTGTGCCCTGCTTATTTTTTTACTTGCCTAAAGCCAGACAATTTTACTCATCAGTAGGGAAGCTCTGCAGCTTAATGGGTTAAAGTAGTGCTATATATTGCAACAGAATAAAGACCATAAAAAAAGCTGACTCAGCCCAGAAAGCATAACCACTGCCATGCCATGATTCGTCATCAAAATGCACTCGGGCCCATGTTCCTAACCAGTGTGCTTATGAACAGCATTAATCCCTTGGATGTCTGCCATTTTAAATATTTTCAGGCCTGGGTGAATACCTCTCAAAAGCACACTGGCTGAAAACATGGCAAGATAGTCAGCACTGCAATGGTTATCAATGGAAAAACCGAAAAACCAATTAAAGGTCTCTATTCTATGATATTGCAGCACCCTAATGCACCTTACTTTACTATCATACTCTTCTGCCTTAATTGTGCCAAATGATTTTACTTATCAAGGGAAGAGTTCTGTACATTAACCCATTAAGTTTCATTGTGCCCCATTTAAGGCTTAATTTTATTATTTACTCTGTCTAACGCCAGACAATTTTACTTGTCAATTAAGGAGAACGCACTGGCACTGGTTTAAATATATTTTCAACTTACCTGTGTCCATTCATCAAACTCATCTCCTGCTTGAGTGGAATCTTCTTCTTCCTAAATGATGAAATTTTAATTTGGTAAATTGAAGGCACGTACCTTGGCAATGCAATTGTTGTGTCGCTAAATATAAAAATGTTAGACTCTTTTATTGCTCCATAATTTGTACCGGTATTGAAATATATAATTGTCTTGCAGCTACCCTGCGAGCAAAGTCCTCTTGTATTTCTTCTCGGCACGGCACAGAGAAGCGAGAGAGACTCTGCAGAACTTGTGTATATTCTTTGTGGAGCAGACAATCCAAAAATTTGGATAATTATGCGTAATTTCAGGTTTGATACTGGTTTTATAACCGGTTTTGATGTCGTAAACAACCGAACCGGAAACTACTTATTAAAGGCAGTTGCTTAGCAACCTTCGCACCTGCTCAAATGAATTTATACACAAGTTCTGCAGAGTCTATCTCACTTCTCTGTGCCGTGCCAAGAAGAAATATGAGAGGACTTTGCTCACCTGAGGGTACATTGCAGCTTAATCGAGGCATGTAATAAATCACACTTCTTGCTACAATGCATGCTATTCCCAGGCAGGCAGGCAGGCAGGCAGGCAGGCAGGCAGGCAGTAAGTTAACTTAAATTTCAAAGCAAATTTCCCAGTAGCTTGTTCATAAACTTGGAAATATTTCTTCAGAAATCGTGCCAGCTAGATCCATAAGAGTTTTTTCTCTCCCGAAGTTTTTAAATATACGTGCAGAAATACACAAACCAAAACAACAGGTTAAATTTTAACCAAGGGTTAGCGCCTGGCCCCTGGGTCCGGTTGTTCAAAGCTGGACAGGGTGGCTGTGTTCAATTATGGCTCGATCATTATTAAAGCACTTGAATACAAATAAATTTCACCTTTTTCTTTGCCTTTGAAACTCCTTTAGAAGCTGGCTTGACATTTTGATTGGGAGCAGCCGTTGACAACTTTTTGTCCTGAAATTACAAAATGATCAATAAACATTTCAGTAGATTCTTATTGTTTATATATAGTACACCTTTATATAAACGTTCCAATACCGATAATTTCACTCAGTCATGTAAATTAAGGCATGCAGATATCATTTATACAAATAACTACTTGCATGAGAGACAAAGGATTGTATTTATATGAAGCCTTCATAATATTTAAAGAGAAAAGTCTTTATTGAAACACCAAAACTACCGCGCAGCTTTGTAAACTATAAAAACAAACGATTTTGACTCACTGTTTTGGCTCCTTTTCCGCCCGTTTTTTTCATTTTTCCTAACGCAAATAACACCAACTAAGTAATTATATTCACTTCAAACCACTAAATAAAAAACCCAAGTAATTTTTCAACAATTTACATCAAAATTTTGTAAAATACTACAAAGTATCGTCTAAATTTCACTAAAAATCACATTTATACGTCAGTTGCTATAGCAACAGTACGTCCGTGTCCACACAAGGAGCCTGAGTACTAGAAATAAAAAGTACTTCAAAATCTTCGAATGACTCAAAAGTCTCGAATTATTATATGAAAACAGGCATTATTTTTAGTTTTCATCTCACATTTTCGCAATTCCCGATACAAAATGTAGTTCTGTTTAAGAATTTAGTTAGAAAACGTGGTAAAACTAGGTAAAATATTTCACAAAAAAGTCACACAATTTGCAGGAATTATATGTGGAAGCATCAAAATCCAATATGGCCGACGGAGTTGAAAAACGAATGAATCTAAAATCTCGCCAAAAACATACACGGGAGCGATTTTATCATTTTCTCAAGCTAGTAGAAAAGAGCTCACTTCAACAGAACGAGAATTCTACAAGCGAAGAAAGTGAGGACGAAATTGATGAAACAAAAAGATCGCCAGAAAATAAAAAGCGAAGGCTACGGTCCGACACAAAACACGATATAAGCGAACTCTCAGAAAGAAATAAACAGCTTTCGAAAGGCAAAAATAAAAAGCAGAAGGGAACAAGCCAAGATGGGAAGGATGATAAAAATACGTATATTGACTGTGATTCTGATATTGATAGCGTAGAATGTGAAGAGACATATTGGTTTGAAAATGAAGTTGTGTTTATTCCGGCTAATCAGAGAATTACTCCACTTGAATATGTTGTAAAGTAAAATATTAAAAACCAAATGCTGTATTGTGTTCTTTTGTATAGTAGAGGCGTAGTACCTGTCGTTTTGATTTGTCTATTTCTGCATGTCTTTTTATTTCAAAACTTTAGAATAGGGTTACGCTGATGGATTCTGATGCGCTGACCAGCTTTTAAACAACCCCCGGTTTCGTTCGTTATGTGCACTTTTTTGGGGAGGGGCGGGGAGGTGTTGCGCTGGTGTTGAGAACAAGTAAGCGACCTTTCTAGGGTGGCCTGAGGGAAAGCTCCCCAAGAAAATCACAAGCCCAGAAAGTGGATTTCCAGCTATTTCCCACAATAATATTGTTTAAAATGACCATGTGTATATCGCCCGATGCATCGTCATGGGCAGATATATTTCTGTGAAACTAGCTGACATGTCTAACTGCGAAATTAGTTAAGATTCTTGTCGATCATTGACATCATTATCGTATTGTAAAAGAACAATTACACAAATATGCATTGCTCAAGTCGAACGTTTCTCTGCTTTGAAAACACGTAGGCACGCTTACAGTCAAACCGGATGTTCTCTTGCGAGCAACATTGCAATATTGTCCCACAATATTGCAATTTTGATAGGCAGATTGCTCTGAACAATTTGCAACCGACGCGAACAAATTGCAAGTTGAAATTCACAAATGATTTGTAAACAAAGCCTCCGATTGGATTATAAGAAAGAGAGAAGCAAATCAAATAGTGTGAGCACTACTGGATTGGTGCTTCCCTCTTATCTTTCTTATAGTCCAATCAGAGGCTTTGTTTACAAATCTTTTGTGAATTTCAACTTGCAATTTGTTCGCGTCGGTCGCAAATTGCTCAGAGCAATCTGCCTACCAAAATTGCAATATTGTGGGACAATATTGCAATGTTGCTCGCAAGAGAACATCCGGTTTGACTGTAAAACTGCGACACTGTGGAAGCCAAAATTCCCCAAAACACTTTCAAAACTAATATGTTTCACCTTTCAAAACTGATCATTTTGCTTTCACTTTCGCATTTTACTTCTTAAACAATTGAGAAGTAATTCAAAACTCAACTTAGTTTACAACTGTACAATGATAAATATTGAGGTATTTACAACACCGCGGCCAAACAAAGTGAATATCCGAGTACACGGAATTGGCGGGAAAAATGTCTGCCAAAATAATAGGAGTAAATACGGGAAATGAGAAGCGTTTACCATAAAGAAACGGCTGAAGCTATAAGTTAGGCAATTTCACCGCTTTTTCTTTGCGTCAAGTCTTTTGAGTACAAGCAGTAAATACGGGCGGACGTTTGACCAAATTGACCGCGGTGTTGGTATTAACAGCCAAAATGGCTTCCTGTTAAAGCCAAAACATGCTTAGTTAACAGTGTACAAGGTTAACTATTAATTGAATTCTAGTTAACTTAGCTGGGTATTAAATACCCCTGGATTGAATCCCTAATTGATACTGCTCTAAAGTACGTTAGTACCGGTTAACATTTTAAGCAAAGCCAAAGAATAGAAAAAGGCGAATAACTAGTGTTACACAACATCATTCCGACTCTGTTCTATTCTATGCCTTCGTCAACTAGAATAATTCTACCTATGTTGAGCATACAATACTCCTTGATATTTAATTCCGTTTAGTTCAATTGAAACAACAATAGAGTTGTCATTTCCTTGTTCAAATGAACCACTAGGCACTCGCTTTGGTGACTTGGAGTTATTGATATGTTCATTATTTTGGCTTTTCTCTTCTCCGTTTTGATGGATAATTGGAATACCTGAATAAGTGAAGAAAAACAACGCAGTGCTCTCAGTGAACTTCAGTCACTTGCAATGGTAACATTTCACAAATAAGCAATGGTCCTTACTGGTCTTCTAGGGAGAACGGTTTAGAACTGATAGTTACTTTAGGGTTTCTTTCGTAGTAATACTGGACAAATAAAGGGCAGAGCATTATAGAGAACAGCTTAGAACTAATAGATCATAGAGCTATCCAGTATATTAAAACAAAATTAGTTTAGTTTTTGGGAGAATCGTTTGGATAGAAACGATAATTGATATCCATTATGGGTTAGTGTAATTAAGCGGACAAAAGTAGAAAAAATATTCATACCTCCGGTAGTCCGAATTTTAATATTAGCCCATGGACTGTGTGTCAATGCTAGATGTTTTTCTAATTCCTCGTTGCTCGCAATTCTCTTATACGGAGGTTCGTACGACGCTCTCCCGTTCGTGTAACCAGGGGAATGGACCCTAGCGTCATATTTGTACGGCGGTCGAGTGTCTGAGGTTGATGTCATCATCCTCTGGATGCCAGTAGTAAATCCAATACCGTTGTTACCGTGGAATGATGGCGACACAAACTAAATCGATAAGATAATTTCGCTTAGAAATAACCGCATATTTTTAGCTATATAGTATTAGTATCTTACAGTAAACCAGTGTAAATTTAATATTCAGTTCCAACTGCAAAATTGGTTGTTAACCGCTTAATTGGCAATGCAACCTGATGCGCCATACTTTAGTATTTTACTTTGTCCAACGCCAGACGATTTTACTCGTCAAGTGGAGAGTGCTGCCACTCAATGGTAAAAACGATTATTTTTTAATGCAACTGCTCAAAAATGTCCAGGAGGTTGTATTGTAATGTTTGCATGTATATTCAATAGTGCTCCTTGATAAAACTTGCAGTTTCAAGTAATTGAATGAATACCTTTCAGAAACCTGTACTTTATGCACAGATGCATTTGATTTTAACGACTAAATACATCTTGAGCATTATCTAAGTTTGTACCAAGGCCAATTTGGAACTTCGAACTTTTCAACTTTTGATGAGCTCAGACAATGAGTTTGGGTAATTCATATATGATAAAGGTTTGGCACACTAGCATCAGCGTAGGAGAACCTGGATATAATTTCGGCCCTGAAAGTCGCAAAATAAGGTTTTATTTTCCTACCTCAGGCTCTCCGGGCAATCTTAACGCCATCGCTGCTTGAGTCATGGTCGGTGACGATGGTCGTTTTAATGTTGGAGACGAACAGTTTGATTTGGGACTTGTTGAGTCGGAATAGAATCCAACTTCAGGTTCGACCATTGAAGTATAATGTCCAATGGAAGGTCGACGACTTGTATCCCTTCTGTTACCGTCTATAGCGCATTGTAATTCCGTAGGTGAAGATAGTTTTAGGGTTGAACATTCGTAGGGATATAAATATTTCATGTATCTAAACAAAATATACTACAGCGTTTAGATGAAAGAGAAAAATGTACGCCCTTGACAGACTTTGGGCCAATATGCTCCAGTGGCCGGTTGTTAGTTCAAAGCTGGGTTAGCTTAACCCTAGGTTAAGCTAAAATTCAAAGCGAACTTCCTGACAGCTTGTCCATAAATTTGGAAATATTTCTTCAGGGATCTTGTCTGGATCGATAGGAGTTTTCTTCTCTGACGTTTTGAAATAAACAGACGTGCATGCAGGTGTACACAAAGTAAAACAGCAGGTTAAATTTTAACCCAGGGGTAGCGCTAACCCAGCTTTGAACAACCGGCCCCAGTAACGCAGCCAGCGAAACAGAGGTGGGGAGGGGGACAATGTATGGGGTAATTAAAATATTGTTAGGTGGGTGCTGAGAACGCCGCCGAAGGTGTGAGCTTGCTATGGAATTCGCGGACGTGCTCCCTAAAAATTTTGAAATCTGATGCCTCTCAGAGCTACGGAAATTCAATAAAATTTACTAGCTAAATAAAAATTTGTCTGTAAAAATTACTTAGAAAAACAATAAACAAGGCAATGTAAAAAGAATAAAGTGTGCTTGCTTACGTAGCATCAAAAATATATTTCTTCCTTTTATGTCTATTTTATTAACGTTTTGACAAATTTGCCGTACGTATTATGACCTCAAAAAGGTTGAAAAAAACAGCCTGTTTCATCCACAAGGACTCATCAGGTGGCTGACATAAGGTAAGCCAATGTAAGGTATGCCAATGAAGGGGTATAGGTATAGTAGTATACTTACTGTGTTCGAAGAGTGAACGCGGCACTCGTCACAGAAGATGGAAGATTTAGACCTTTGATAATTCCTCGCCAAATTTTCTTGTTGATAACCTGAAATTAACAAAATCATTCTATCACTACCGGCAAATATGATAAATTGGTCCAATCATCGATGGTGTCGCCATCTTAACTCGAGCTGTGACTCAATTGATTGTGACTCAATTGATCCAATCATCGACGGTGTCGCCGTCTTAACTCGAGAATGCACTGTAGTTTAGCCTGGAAATTCTAGACTAAAACGCTAATAGACGCACAAATTAAAAAGACAACCATCTCACCTCGACTAAACCACCTCGGTCAGTGACAAGTTTGAAGAGTTTAAATAAGTCCAGTGTTTGTTTCGCCATGATCGGCACTCTGTTGACAGGAGAACCTAATAAACATAAAACATGATTAATTATCATGGATCACTAATTTCATATGCATGTGAAAGAATAAATGAACCCCAAATTTCACAGGTGAAAATTCTGAATTTCACATATGGAAATGATCCAATTCCATACAAAATGATGCGTGAAATTTGCAAAAGGGAGGGCTGTCCTTGTTGGAAACAACAAAGCTATAGCTTACGATTGTTGAATGTAATTTTAAAACGAGTTTTAATTAAAAAGCCACGAAAATTGCTTGCACTTGTCGGCCAACGCGATGATGCCAGATAAACATACATACAAGGTGTTTGCAGCCTTTCCACTGAAGAGTTTTATGTCAAAAGAACTCGTATTTGGCGTGCATTTTTTATCAATATTTTATCGATTAATATTGATCAATAAATTAACAATATAGACAACATAATTCATTGAAATGTCTTCCTCTGTATAAGCGGTTTTGTTACTTTGTTAGGATTAAATTTAAATATGGTTTCTATAATGAGGTTTAAATGACCTATAGATAAAATTATGACGGCTTGTACAGCATGAATGCGTGCTTTTTATATAGTTTAACAATGTTGAATACAAATACAGTGTGATTATAGAAGATCCCTTTAATCGAAAGATCTTCATCGGTGACAAGATAGAATAAGGCGTTCAATTAATTTTCGTTCAATATATTCACCATATACATGCAAATCGTTAAATTTTCGTAGATAATTTATATATTTTGTTATGCATATATAGCTAGTTAACAATTGATCGGACATAAGCTTTCCTGTAGCTTTGCATCGTGATATTGACCATAGTATAATATGCTTTGATATATTTAATTGTATAGTGGTAGTACAGCTCGCATATATAGGATTTGTCGGCTTTCTGGATGAAAATTTCTGAATGAAATTTCAGAATGGAATTAGAATTGTTTGCTTTTTAATCGACCGCGTATGAGACTTGTATAAGTATTTATTAGATCGAAAAGCGCTTTTAAGAAGAGATTTTCAATTTCTTTTCGCTGGATATAGTTATTACACTGCGTTTGTTTTGGCGAGAAAACATGTTTACATACATTAAGTTACATATTATACGAACGTTGCAATCAAATAACAGAGTCGGAAAACTTCATTTTAAACTAAACATATATATGTCACATTAAGTTACATATTATACGAACGTTGCAATCAAATAACAGAATCACAAAACTTCATGAAGAGGGTAATTTTCAGACGTTTATCGTGAAGCTCATGCATATTTGCCAAAACATTATAATTGCAAAAAAACACAACGAAAATGCAAATGAGCATGAATATATAGCTGCAAGATGGCGGCATTTAATTTATTATTTACTTTCTCACTTGTTCATTGTCTGATTATATTAACTTTGTGCTAATGAGCGAGAAAATTTAATTAAGTTGGCCTGACCGGCATTAATTGATATTACACCAAAACTTTATTAGGAAAATTAGACTTTCATAAATAAATAATGTGCAAAAAAGTCGGCTGCCTATTTTTATTCTCTCAATTTGCGTCTCATATACATGGACTTATATACAAAAACTAATATGTATAAATATACTATTAATCGAAACACTCGTGTTCCACCACAGCTTGCATGATGCGATTCGCCCGTTATTTAGGTGTAACACGAAGTTTCTAACTTGCGAAATACACGATTATTATATACAGTGTAGAGTACTAAACATACACGGGCGACGATGCGCATGGTTGAGCTTATAGCTCATACATTTCGCTTCGTTGATATTTAGTCAACAAATGGCAATGAGATTTTTTTATATCAAGAATTTCTCTCTTGCGTGTATTTGTATTTAATAAAATGTCTTTCATTTTTAACACCTTACAGTTTGCGATCAAAACAATGACATGACGGGCGAATAAATGATTAATTCGCGTGTGTTGAATAACACCGAAACAATAGAGGATTCTTGCAGGCGGTATTTTTAGCAACGACACGGCAAAGCCTAGTTTCAAACACGAATAAAGTACTCAATTAAAAAATACCGACATTCTTTGTATTGCCGGCACGATAGCGCCGTTTTCACTGTTAGTCTTCATGGTCATATAAAGTATCCTTCTAATGAGTAATGGCAGTTCATATAGACATAGCAGCAATGTTCATTCTAATATTCTATATCGCAAAATACACAACAGGAGCTAAGCTAGGAAACCTAAACTAAAGTACCTGCAATTATATCTATGAATATATTCTACCTGTTTTCTTAAAACCGCGTTCTTTCTGCAGTACATAAAGAGTTTATGCAGTAAGAGCGATCTCTCGTTACATCAATGTTATACTACTAACAGGAGGAAACCTAAACTAAACTAATCGTATTTATAGTAATACTGGATAGTTGGTCCAGTAAGGATCATCTCTTATTGATCCAGTGTTATACTACAGGGGAAACCTAACTAAACTAACTTTATTTATACGCATGCCGGCTCCATGGATAGCTCTATCAGTTCTGAACTGCTTTCCCTATAGAGGTCCAATAGGTGGCATCTCTTATGTTACCACAGGAGGAAACATAAACTAAACTGTAAACTAGTCTTATTTATACTGGACAGCTCTATATCAGTTCTAACGAATTTTCTCCAGCGAGTAGCGTTCCTGCACTGGCTGGACATTTCATATTTGCAGTCCACTGTTACAATACAGGAGGAAACTTGTCCTTTAATACTAAACTAACTTTATTTATACTACAAGAAAGCTTTTATCATGCACATTATATATGTTCTGTATATAAACAGCTCACCACAGGCGGTCATTTCTTATTGGTTCAGTTTGTTGTTTCTCCACATATGAGGAAGAAACGGAATATTCTGGAAGCATGCGCGCGCTTCTCTAATGCGTTCAACTGAGCCGAAATTGTATTTAGGATATGCAATTATAGAACATGCATGCAGCTTGTGAATTGAATATTTACAAGGCAATCCATTAAAATTTGCTGATAAGAATTCGCGTGTCTATTTGCGAGCTTAATATTTTAATATAATTACATTATCAATATTTATTTGAACCATCTAAATACATGCAAAAAATATATATTATTACATTTTAGAAAAAAATATTGTGGATGAAAATACAATGTCATATATTGCTGAATGATGTATTTTTCTTTGGCAACTTGGATTTAAGTTCTTATCAATTAAGAAACAAAATGTTGCTAAATTGTATTCAATTCGCAAAAAAGCGTCTTTATAAAACAGACAATCAATTTTTCAAATAAAAAAATAGCATACTGCATGCATGGATTATAAACAAATTTATCAATTGAAAAAACGCATCCCAAAAAGTAGTTAACATGCACTTTAGCTCATGTATACATGACTGTAAAGGCTGTAATTCTAATTAGTATGTTATTCTTATTCTATATTATTCTAATTTTAATTTTGAATTAATATCAGAAAGTAGTATATATATATGCTAGCAAACTTAACGAACGTGGAATTTTACGCCCAGGAACATACAACTAAATATTTGCAATAATTTTTATTATTAGTATATGTATTTATTTTCCATTAGCATTATAGATGAATTTCCATGTAAATTTCTGCATTTCATTTGAATTTAATTCCTTTTTATATACCTTTTAATTTAGGATACACGGTAATTTCTGAATAATGATGATAAAATCAAGATTATACCGTGCTCTTCTAGTCGTTTTTATACATTTTACCCAATAATTTTAGTCAGTTTTGATATTAGAAAATTATGCTATCTGCATATTTCGATTATGCAAGTTCACAAAAGCCAGGTGTTTGCATCTTGTCGGCCGAGACTAATATCATAAAATATTAACCCGTCATGTCTAACACTATCATTGTTATGTAATTTTTCTTAGATAAATATTACATACACTAATTAATAAATCGATGGCAATTTGCAAATATCATGCGCGTTTTATAATTACTTTGTTAAGACATAGAAAAAGCCGCTCACGCGAAATAAATATATTCATGCGTGCGCGTCTAATTTGCATATTTTTCAAAGACAAAGTTGGAATTTTTAAAAAAAAATTATAACGATGGATCAGTCTAATAATTATACAGATATAAAATGCGTAGTCGCAGATTAATGTAAGAGTTGTATGTTAGATCCATTGCAGTCGAGTTTAGAATCATGGAAGGCAATTTGAAACAGACCGCGACTCAGTAGTTGGGTAATAATAATTAATGTATAAACAGATAGATCGTCCTAACAGATGTACTCTGGAATATATATAGGAATATATAGTTCAGTATATAATTCTGAAAACTTGGTCTGACAATACAGGGTGTCGCAAAGCGAAACCTCTATAGAAATCACCCTTTTGTTGTAAACACCCAAAATTCCGATTACCAACATGGGAGTTTAGGATGCAATGTAATCGTACGAGCATATTAAAACTACATAAATTGTACATGAAAATTCTAATTGAAAGTTAAAACGACTTGGAAATTAGTCGTTCCAACTACAATCTACCGAGCAAAGAATTTTTACTGTGTTATATGCACTGCATGCGTTAAATTTTTCAGCCCATAGTCATATTCATATGTTGAACGAAACCAAGATCGAACTCTTAAATAACTTCCAATGCATAAAATCGATCAATTAGCCTTTCTCACGCCGCCATTTTTGGGTGGTGTTTCAGCCGAAGTCTCAGCGAGATAAGTCTACATAACAGCGACGTTTTATATTTTTTTGGACGAATGCTGGTAAATTTGCTTTGTAAATGGTTAGTTTATTTTGAAAAATTGCTTTTCACATTGTTATAATTGTCTGCATTGGTTGACATCAACTATTTCGCTGACCTCAGAATGACATTTCGTCAAAACTTTTTTCTTTAAGATTGGTTTAGAAACAAATTTTGAGTAGGGTTAGGTTAGGGTTAGGATTAGGGTTAGAATTGGTGTTTGGAGTAGAGTTCTAGTGTTAGTAAAACCGTTGCTTTGTTGCGTTTTGTCACTCTGAGGCCAGCGAAATAATCTCTTCCGCATTGGTTAACGAGAATTAGATGCCACCCAAAAATGGCGGATATTCGTCATCGTGAAAAAGGCTAATCGTGTTTACGCATGCACCCATGCATTGGTTCAGTATAGGACTCAGGCATTCAAAGTAGAACATATATACAACAAGGTAAATTTCTAAAAGTTCGCTTTTTTTAAGACACTCTGCAACTCACATTTTGGTCACGGACACGATCGGACGCCATTCGGACCTACTAATTTTGTAGAACGCATTTTGTACACACACAGCTGTCTTGTTATCGTAGCTAACTATATACTGGCACAGATCATTCCAGATTAATGTATTGTAACCCTTTTTTAACAAACGTGACTTAAAATAAATCTTGTGTGAAGATCTCACCTCTGTGTTGCATGAAAGCAAACAATTTATCCAGGAATTCCTTCCGTTCAGCTTCATCTCCCAAATCATAAAGCTACAACAAATGTAATGAAAAGTTTAACTTCTTTGCAAGACGAATGAATTTCAATAAAAATCAGTATTGAGAGCCCTTTGATTACGTCAGTGTTGAATTTTCCCAAAGACACAAAAAAAACGGACTGCAAAAAATAATAACTATTTTAAATTTTTTCTTGTTTTTTTTTTAAGCTTAGCTTCCTCATAGCTAAAACGAGGAAGCTATCAAACTACAAGAGACGAAAAGAAAAGATTAGCCACAGACTATCCGCATTCCGAATCCGATGTCGATGAAGCTTCGACGTTTTTTAGTCGCGTAGGTCTCGCATATAGTGTGAACACGAATGGCGATTACGATTTTTGGTCGGTTTTCTTGGTTTTCCAATATAGGCGAAACCATAAAACCGGTTTTGAAAAAACCTCGATATTTATCAGTTTACTGATAAACCACCCATTATGAAACAAAGCTGGTTTAGTTTAAGACCCGTACCCGTTTAGACTTAAAATTTTTGTTGCGATTTGTATAGTGCAATTTTCGTCTTCTGATATATGTGAGCGAGTAGATGAGTTAGTAGTATGCATGACGTATAGAGCTATCTACTATCTAGTATATAAATGAAGTCAGTTTACTTTAGTCTTTAGATTTCCTTTGTATATACTATAACACTGGATCAACAATAATAAAAGGATGGCAATTATTGGACCTCTTTATAGAATCGGGAAGAACAGTCTAGACCTGACAGATTAAAGTATTCAAAATAGTTGATATTATACCTTATAGTTATATTTTTTTAATGTAAATAAAATTTGAATATTTCTATATGGATTAAAATATTCAATATCTTAATTTGTGAAACAATAAAAGCTTATGAAAATTTTTAACAGGTTTTTCCTTGTGGCATTGTTACTTTATATTTCTCATCTTATTCACGCAATTAAGAAAAACAACTATAGGGGCCTATATAGCTACAGGTTGGATAAACTCAACAATAGGACAAGTAGATTTTAGAATTTAGGTGGGGGGTTTTTAATAGAAATATTTTCATTATATCGCAAAAATATATAGACATAGTAGAATAAAGCGGGACAGAACAAAAAAGAGGAAAGTAAATATAGAAAAGTCTATAGAGTAAATTGTAAATGGCATGAACTCATCAATTAAATAAGCAAAGCTTTCGGTTTCGTTTTTGATATACAAATAATTTAAAGCAGAAATTATCCCGGTAACAATCGAAGATGCAAAGGACTTCATCTCTTTACAATATATATGGAGTGTAAATATACAACATGTTGTATGTTTCTTAAACAATATAGCCTATTGCTTTGTGTATACAAAATGTGGTTTATTAATTGATGTATGTGTATATATATTATAAATATTAATATCATGTTATGAGATTAAAAGATCAAAAGTTGTCGGTGACAAGGGCAATTTGAAATTTATACCTATACAACTGTTCTTCCTATATAGAGATCTAGTAAGGGTCGTCCCTTACTACAATATATAGAGAAGGTCGTCAATTATTTCTCTGGTGTTATACAAATTAAGGGAAATATATATATAAACTACTTTATAATTTTAAATTAAAAAATATGGACCTCGGCCTCCTTGTCGTAGTCTTCAACAGATGTACTAAATTAACAATGATTATAAGTTGCAGATAGCTGTATTCTATTCATTGTATATATCTCATGTCGAAGGCCACAGATAGGCGACTGAAAGCTCGTAATAAATAAATACTCTGATCTGCAAAGAACTGCGAATTGATAGGGATTCAACTACATGAAAAATACAAAAACAATTTCCATCGTCGAGAAATGAGTAGTACTTGTATATATTTTCAGGTGGTTGAATGCCTATCAATGCCCAGTTTTCAGGTGTTTTTATCACTACCTAGGCTGGTAAAGACCCTTCTGATCAGAGAACGTGTTTAACTTTACATTTATACTGGCAACTGTTTATCCAGCCAGAAGTCCAGTAAGAGCAATCCATTATTGATCCAGATTGACTACAGAAGGAGATCAGAAGATCGGACAAAAACGTGTAGTTTAGAAGAGTCAAGCTATATTATAGAAACCCTCTTCTCACATGCGACTGAGTTGAAAGTGTGCTCCCCAAAAAATACAGTATAGCTGCCTGTGTTCCAAATCTTTGCACGGCTAATTATTAGTCAGGGCATCGAAAATTATATTCAACACGACAGATAAGTTTTGACACTGTAAGATTATTAGAATTGATATATTGCTGTTTAAAGTAAGAGGTCATCAAACCTATTGATAGTTAACAGAACTAGTGATGCATGAATATGACAGCATGCATGATTTCACTATTCGGTGAGCCAGACTTGATTTTAAAACAGCCATGACATTGGTCTTACTGAACCAATTTTAATAATCTTAGTATCCAAATTCATCTTTTACATTGAATTTTCAATGCACACTATAATAATTGGCTATTGAATTTTTTTACACACCCTGTATATTACATGAGTAAAAGCTCAGTCGCAAAGTCACTTGCTTTAACTAAACTATGCGGTTTCATGTACATATGGACAAAATCTCTCCTCAATATTATACAGGCATATACACACGAGCACAAATTAACAAAAAGTAATTAAAAATAACAACGAACCTTTTTGAACTGCTCCTCATAAGACCACTCAGGTGGAAAGCCTCTTTCATCTGCAATTTCATGTCGTGTTAAATCGTAGTCATTCTCAACGTCTAAGCTGTTTGTCTTCGCAGTCGGTTCATCTGGACCAGGCGAGAGTCGTTCTTCTTTAGTGCGGATTAATATGCTGCCTGTTGTAGCTGCACTCGTTAATGACCTCCCAACACCTTTAAAATTAGATTACAAAATCTTGTTATTCGCCATGATGTTTCTATCAGCTCGCAGAAGAACTTGGGGGAAAAGTAGATTTGTAAACATTCTTACTTGCAGCTGAGAGCTAAGCTGAATTACAAAGGACGCAGCTCAACCTGATCGAGTCGAAGGCTTACTATATAAGACAGCCATCGCATGAATGTGTCTGTGTCACTAATGTCTGATAACGGAGTACAGATGCAAGGGTCAGTTTGGCATTGATCCCAACCTTCCCTGTGGGAGGAAACCGGGTCGAGCAAAACCCAAAACTTTTCGTAAAGCGTTCGCTGGTTCACGTAAGTGAAAGGGGATCTCAGAGAGGTACTTGCTCTGACCGGACTGCGCCAGCAAACCTCCACGCGACAAACAAACAGACCGTAGAAGACGAACCATCGAGGTAATTTTTTCTACCGACCCAGGCAAAGTTTGCTTAGTAGTAGTTCGATGATCCGTTTCTGAGTATAACTACGGCACAAGACAACTGCCTTGTTACGTATATTGTTTGTTATTCGGGGTTTCGGTGATGCAAACTTCAGAGCAAGCGTCTGAGATCGTGGATTCGATTCTCGCTGGGATCCAGGACACTTATGTGAAAAGAGTCAGTCAACGCTTTATCGAAAGTCGTGGGTCAGTTTTCTCCGGGTATTCTGGTTTCCTCCAACCGGAAATGTTGTCGATTAATTTTGAGACGTTCTCGGATCGTTAACTTCTATTCAATACGACCTTTCGACTGCCAGTTTGCAGCTCGTACTAAATAGTTTACGTTCGGAGAACGTTCGACAACTAAATTGTTACGTATAATCCTGGTCGCCATGCTTCTATCATTTGTAATAGCGTGAATAGTGCGATCTACATGGTTGGCTAGGATCCTGGAATTACGCTAAGCCATCTTGGTTTTGCTGCGGCAAAATCCTCTAAGACTACAAGTAACAAAGCATTAACAGTTCGTCGACACATCCACACACATAGCTGGATCATTCTTCGAGACGAACTGCGCACGCAAGATCGCGAGTCGACGAACTTTGCAGATTGTTCATTTTGACGAACGACACACACACTGACCGACACAGGTTCGTCGAGATGAACCCATCCTTCTCTGGTATAAATCGGGGCATTGTTGACGAGCTAGCACGACTGTGGATATAGAATTACACACACACACACACCTTCCTTTTCTTGGAAATTTGTTTTCTTTCCATTTTCAGATCGCTCACGAAACCACTTTTCTTTCATGTTTTCATTCGAATCTTCTTCCATCGACAATTGCAGGGACTCTAATTCGGCCATTCGTTCGAAAGCGTTTTTAAATTTACTTGTAATTTCGTCCATTCTCAGTTCGACTTTCTGATCGTGCGGTCGTTCCCCAGTGCCATTCGACACTTTGCCACTGTTTGCCGCGTCACACCTTTCCAATTCGCTTGTAATCTATATACAACGAAAACCATAAATACATTAACAATAGGACATCGATAGCACACAAGACGTTTACTAAAGGCCAACTCTAATAAATATTTCAAGCGAATTTAGCGCTTATTATAATATTCGCTAAATGCACCAGCCATCTGTTCAAAAAAATAGCTCAAGCTGTCAAATTGATAACTCATAAGCTCGTACCTTCGATTCCCTTGCTGCTGTAGACATTTTGATTATATACAGAACAATCCCTTAATATATATTTGTCAAATAATTTAATAAAACCGTGATAACTTCGATTCGGCTTGTATTAATAGTCCACCAGCATTAGAACATAAAATGTCGCAATTAGATCGCCTTTTAACCTCTCGCTAACACATACGAAGCGAAAGTCATAATATCCAAAAATGCGAAATTGCTTTTTATTAATTTCTTGACGTCTATACATTAACCACTTGATATTTTTAAAGTGTGTAGCCGATATAACCTCAAAACCTTGATTATATTACTTTGCACGTGTTTAGAATTCTAATTAATAATAATACCGGTGGCTGTTCTCAATTTTGTACACCAATACAATTTAATACAAGCAATTTTTAATTGAACCCATTCGCGATTCACGAAGTCGTATTTTAATATGAGATCGATGCAGAACACAACCTTGAAATCGCATTACTCGAATAAAAGCGCTGCCGATATGGTCGATTCAATGATATGGCCGTTTTGTGTACTGTTAACTTAATTCCAATTAACATGACACGGCAGATTATATTGTTCTCCTAACTCCACGGCGCGTGTGATTAAATTAATTATCGCTACGAAGTGCATGCAATGCACTTCAGTTTTTACTCAAATTGTAATTAATTTCGCGTTGCGCTAAGCCGACGATAAGTACAACGAAGCGATTGTTTGCAAAGCGAATTTAATTTTGATGTTTGGGCGCCCCGAACTTGTCAATGTAAATTAATTAAAACGCCTTTTGTCAAACTTGGATCACGGTCGAATTTCGTGAAATTGCGGTCACCTATAGTCAACTTTTCCCTTTACATTTAAATTTTGTTATTCCGATGTTATTAATCAACGAATATAATATCAGCGATATTTGAATTAATTCAATATTTTTATAATATTTTCTATATATTTATATTATATAAATACAAGTCGCACGCTTCGTTGCCCGACAGGTATATAACTGGAATCTATAGTTTGATCAATATATAAATTCGAGCTAACGCCATTTTATAAAGCTAAGTTCGTGGAGTACAACTGGGCACAGTCACGAGTGCATTGGCATTGCGCAGTATATATTTGAGAGAGATGCATGCCCTTAGTCTGATGTTATAGTCAGTTCATGATAATCTTGGTTTCATCCTGCAGTTTGAATCCGCGGACGATTTTAGATTCATTCCTGCCAAATTATAGGGTTTGTAATTTATTGTTTTCCTTATTTCGAACAAACTTTCCTTAAGGCTTAAGCCGTTTTAAAAATCTCCCTAAAATTTTCCTTCGCATTTAACAGCGACGCTTTCGACCAAGAAGGGGTGGGTGGGTGGGTGGGTGGCACTGAATTTTTTTAAAGTGTGGACCCTGGGCATAGGTCATTATAGCAACTTAAACATGGCGTGGGAACTCAGCAGAATTCAAGGCGTAGAATTCATGAGCTACATGAACATGATTTTATGTTGGGACGTCACTAACCATGGCATACAGCTAATTCAAAAAAGGTTACCTTTGCAAACCTCAAATTCTAAGCGCGCAAAGCATAATGGGGGCACGATTTAAGCAGTTTAGAAGGCTTATATGGAGCCCATTTCGTGGAGACATGGTAAATATCTCCCTGCGAAAACATTTCACTCACAAACAGCTGCAAAGTTCAACTACTAAGCTTGAAATTTGTGTTCCCATTATGCTTTGCGTGCTTAGAGTTTAAGGTTTGCAAAGGATAACCTTTTTTGAATTAGCTGTATATGACCGTGAGTATATACTGGATTTTGGTATATAACCATGCTTATGGTGGATTTTGGTGTATAAACGACATAAAAAATTTCGATTGTTGATTTACTTTTGTGTAAAAATTATACTGACCATCTTGTAAGATCATCAAAATGGAACACAACTAGATTATGAATTTTTAATCACGCTAAAGAGGTATATATAAAGAGCATATTTTATAGAGAATAATATGATAATATACATCACGTGTAGGCTGTGATAAAATGGTGAACATGCACCAGACGTGATTGGTTGATTTGTGGTCACGTGACTTCACTCATTTAGATAAATGCCTCTGGATAAATGCAATGTATCCCGCTGGACAACAAGTGAAAAATTGTTGCCCGCCCCGACCGGCTGCGTACATAAATAAACAAAATGGCGGCACAACTCACAAGTTTATAAACTATACGATTTTCCAAGTTTGTGTTGAAATAAATAATGCAAAAAGAAGAAAAATACACACGGACAGGCAACAGGATATATGCTGTTGAAGCCGTTTATGTAGATTCTTTTAATTTTAAACTCGTTCACACTGCAGCGGTAGAGTTTTAGTCAGTCATGACTTATGAAATATAATTGTTGCATGAATGTTGTTGATTTTCTTTCGTCGCAATATAACAAAACACTTGTCTTTTCCCTCGGAAAATATATTTGTTTAATTGTTTCCCATCGAATCTCGACTTCGTCTCGGGAAACAATAAGACTCTTTATATAGGCGCCGATATTTTTTCAACAAGCTTATAGTGCCCATGCATGCATGCAATTAATCTTTCTCTAAGTTGTCTTTCAATATATATACACTATTTGTAATTTCAAATTTATTTTTCCAATATTATATATAACCGGCAACAATATACTTGTCAAATATGAACGCATCGAATTTTAATCGCATGCGTCCAATTTTAATTTATTAATCTTTTCGTTTGTCGACCTTGCAATTAATTTCTGACATTTTGTTGATCAATAATGTTTACCTTGCGAACGTTTTGAGATTAAAATAAATATATTGGGATGACAATTGATGTATATGAAATTTAGTGATTATATTGAAAATTCAATTTCATGGATAAATTGCTTGAACATTGCTGCTATACCCAATTTTGCTTCTTCAAATGTTGTTTATAGTTGTCAAAATAATTATAAATCAGTGAGCTGACCGCCATCTTGGATTATTGTGCAATAGCGGGTCATCATGAGCCCAAAACGATACTTCGGTCACTATTTCAAATAGCAATTTGACTGACAACGTTTTAAGCATCTACTAATTGTTATTTGGTCGCATATATAAGAGTAGTTCTACATGGCTACTAACCCTGCTTTTGACGTCACCAAAACCAGCGTTGAAACGGCTATTCCAAGAATTAAACATGTCATGAAAAATCGGAAAAGGAGTTTTATATCGCTATATTATTTTTAAAAGTTCTATCAAATGAGATAAGAATACCCCCGAGCAGGTGTTACACCTACGTTTTCACTTTTAAAACACAATATTCTGCTTTCAATGAGCTTTCTCTAGAAATAACTTCACGAAGTAAAAGTTTTCTATAAATGCCTGACATACTTTCTGTCACACATATACTAACTAGTAAGTAAATCAATGACTCACGCGCAATAACAGAAAAAATGACCTCGATCCGGAAAGGAGAAGAGTGCAGTCTTCCAAGGACCAAGACACGTTTAGACAAAGTCTCAATCAAAAGTTGCTTGGTGGCTTTCCTGAAGTTATTTGAACTCCGAAATATCCAACTATAAAACTTACTGTACAACTGCATGTCTTTATAATGATGGTACTATATATAAAATAGGGTTTTCTCATTCCCTTTTTTTGTGTCTGCAGTCATTCCCACAATCATCCACAAAATATATTGGGACGTTTGGAATCCCCCCCCCCCATTTCAATATTGAAAGGCTATACTAGTACTATATTATCTTTCTGAAAGGATTTTCTACAAAACATAAGTATTGGGGTCTGCTTTACTGGGACGAGATGTGAGGCGGGATGATTTAAATGTATTGAAATATGTTACGGTGTACGATTCAGCAAAACTACTGACATTATTTTTCTAGTGAAAGATTATAGTATAGTATAATTGTAAGGTTGTTCATGCAAGCAGCAATAATAAACTAATAATCCTCTTGAACTGCGAGATCTTCTCGACAACATTTAACTTCTTTCTCCGGTGTTTGAACTTTCGTTTTATAAAGCCCTGTACTCACTGCAGTGATTTACTTCAATGCATCAAAATTATCCCGCCGTGTCGTCCCGACAAACCGCGATCATGTAAACAGCCATTTCGTACACGAAGAAGAGATTTTCCGTCATTTGAATCTCTATTTCGAAATTGCATTGTTCCAATTCCACACAAAATTGGATAGAACTCATAAATCACGGTCATTTAGTTATATGTATTGCACAAAAGGTTGCCACAACAGCCTCATGTTTTATCCAAGAGGAATCTGCTTGGATGAAACAGGCTGTTGTATATATATATATATATATATATATATATATATATATATATATATATATATATATATATATATATATATATATATATATATATATATATATATATATATATATATATATATATATATATATATTGTATATATATATATATATATATATATATATATATATATATATATATATATATATATATATATATATATATATATATATATATATATATATATATATATATATATATATATATATATATATATATATATATATATATATATATAAATATAATTAATTACAAGAAAAACCATTTAATAATACCTCTTTCAACCACATATTTTGTCAAAACGAGTACGTATGGTAGTAGCTGTATATGTTCCTTCGATTATAATCAAACGTCCAGAATTATAATTTAAATTTTATCAGAATTATATTAATAATTCCTTTTCATTTTGCTTCGAAAGTTCGCGAGAACGGCTGGCAGCCCGCAATAAAGTATCAAAATTAAAAAATTCAGATTTGATCTAGTTTGCGATAATAAATAATTCAGAATAATAAATTACTTATTTTTATGAGTGGCTGAAGAATAATAGCGAAAAACAGAATAAGTTTGGAACGCTAAAAAAATGAAATTTAGACAAAATTATATTTTCAACCTTAACCATTTCTGACTTTAGGAATTCAGTCTAACACCACATTAAATTAATTCGTTCGTGTGATCATAAGCGAAAGGCGAAAGCTGAATTGCTTTCGTTTTTAATTAAAAAATTAATTTTATTAATTCGCGGCATATTGTAGCAATTTAGCCTTTATTGATGTGCCGAAAGCTACTTTTTCGTCGTGGACGTTTTAGTAATTTAGAATTAGCGGCCAAACTTAGAACTGTGTTCATTAAAAGATTTAAACCAAATAAAATCTAAACTAAAACTTTTTGATATCTTTCAGTAACATGAATGTAGCGGATTTAATAACGCCGCCATGCAAATAGCCGTTGAGACACAAATTAATATGCTTTGCATTCGTAGAAATCTGTACAAAAAATACGAAAAACATTTCAAACGTTTGAAATTCCATACGAACTATAAAACGATCGACAAGTCATCGAGTGAACTGCAAACATTTCAATGGCAGTTTTGAAAGACAGCAAATTACAATCAAATTCGCGGCGACTCAATGTTGGTTCAATAATTAATCTATAACGCGACAAAAATGCAATTTAATTGAAATGGGTCGTCAAACATTATTATTTGCATCAAGTTGAGACAAAAACCCTGCTCCACGGGGGCCGAAACGTGAGGCTACGGAAACTTAGCAACTTTTGAAGCAAAATACGCCAATTATTGCGTGTAATAAGTTGTTTAAAATTACATAAGAATTGAAGAATATACTTACATTACTGGAAACCGTTTTAGGTGAATTCCGTTCCGATTTCGGTTTGTTTGAAGAGCTAGATTCAACATTTTCCGGGCTCTTTCCCGTAACATCGGGGCTTCCTTTATGCGTATCATGAACAAACATATCGAGTGGCTACTTACACTGAGAAATTCCACAATCAAAATTAATTGTCGACGGATTGCGACTTTGACAAATCCAGCAAACGTAAGTTCCAAACCCTGGTTGGAGCAGTGAGTTCGTTGGTTGGGACTTGGGATAACTCGACACGGCAGCCGTCCTAGTTAATCTCGCATGCGAAATAAAACGACCGTATACCGGCACTCGTCTTAATATTAAATAGTTTGTTTAATCAATCCTACCCCCTGTCAACTCAGAACTCATTATGTGTTTTGAATGTGAGGCAAATTAATCCTCAAGGGAGCCAGACAGCCAATAGGGATGCTTTGTGGTGGTGATAATCGTACGATGGAAAATAATTGATAAGGCATATTAATTGAAATATGTCATATCAACCACCTGCGCTCCACTGCAGAGCAAGTTCAAGCCGATAATAAAACCGGATTCATGCTTCGGTGTTTGACTCCGAACCGGAAGAAAGTTGGAAATAAAGGCAGAGAATGAATTGTAATGAATTTTGATGCATTCGTAGGAGATGAAGTTTGATCTAAGATTTTGATTCATCAAGCCTTGGGACTTGTGACCGAATGACGTTTGATCAGACTTGATCAAACGTCATCCAGGCCTTGGACATGCTCGAACTTCATCCAGTCCTTTACAACTTGATCAGAATATCATTTACAATCCTAGGATTTAATCGAAATATAATCCGGTCCTAGGACTAGGACTTGATCAAACTTCATCCAGTCCTATAGGACTTGATCAAAACTTCATCCACTCCAAGGATTTGATCAAAATTCGAATTCTACTAGTCGTCTAGTCCTACGACTTGATCAAAATTTCATCCAGTCCTATAGGATTTGATTATTAGAATGTGGTTTGGTTCACGAAATGGCAAAGAGTGCTCGATATTATATAGATAGAGCAGAAATAGTCGTTTCATCCAAAAGGAATCATCAGAATCATCCATGATTCCTCTAGGATGAAACAGGGTGTTGTGGCAACGTTTTGAGGTAAAACGACTATTTCTGCTCTATCTATATGATATCGGGCACTCTTTGCCATTTCGTGAACCAAACCACATTCGTATCTATATACAATGGGAAAATGATCGGTCGTTTTGGGGTGATATTTGAACATCTATTAATAATTACGTACTCCAAAAATCAAAAATAGTCCTTGGACTGGATGAAGTTTCAAAAATAGTCGTTGGACTGGATGAAGTTTTGATCAAGTCCTAGAACTGGATGAAATTTTGATCAAATAATCAAATCCTATATAAGACTGGATGAAATTTTGGTCAAGTCCTAGGACTAGAATTTTAATCAAATCCTTGGACTGGATGATATTTTGATGAAGTTCTGGAACTGGATGAAGCTTAATCGAGTCCTTGGAGCGGATTATATTTCGATTAAATCCTAAGATTAGATGATATTTTGATCAGGATGAAGTTCGATCATGTCCTAGGCCTGGGTGACGTTTGATCAAGTCTGATCAAACGTCATTCGGTCATAAGTCCTTGGATTGTAGACTTAAATGTTATGGTTACAAAATCACCATGGAATTTTAAAAAATTTTGAAAGAATGTCAAATATGAAATAGCAATTAAAAGTAAACAAGTATACTCATCAAAGATATCAATTTCAAAGAAAGTTTTGGGTTAGATTTTATCAGTCTCATGCAATGCGGCACCTTTTAATAATTTCAAACGCGGGGTCCAGTGTGGAATGTACACTATAGTGGACCGATATGACAATGAAAGAGAGACTTGGAGCAAGTCTAGTGTGGGAGAGTGCTACAATAAGCTTTCGTGGTTTGTGTCTGAACAACCCTGAAAAGCATAAAAAACCACTTGGAGGTCATTTCGAGCGTAAAACCTTGCATCTGGCTCCTATATTTTGCATATGGTGATAAAAGCATTTGCTGGAAACGGTGATTGGACGTGTTTATATTTTAAAACCCTTTCTAAACCGGTTCAGACTCAGTACTATGGCAGTTTAATATATGCAGCTAGTCTGGTGTGAAAATGTAATAGTTTTAAGTGGCGTTTTTTACGATTGTTTTAGGGTAATGATTTTATGAGTGGGCGGACAAAAAAAGTAAGAATAAATATAGAATAATGACGATTTCAAGTAACGTTCGACAAAAATGTTCCCTACGTGTTTTGAGGTTCAAAGTTCAAAATGAATTCACAAACTTTGTTTACAAACCTGCTTGCGAATCTCATCACAACTATTGAATTTTGACTTCGCAACGAAATTCGGAACATTTTTGTCAAAATTCCAATGAAATAGGCCTAATTAGACCAGAGAGGCGGGAGCAAAAAGGAGTACGGTATTTAGTCGTTTAAGCACCGCCCTCAATTAAGTGCCGCGTATAACAAACATTGTATTGTAAAACTGAAATAAAAAATTCCGAAGTTCAACCTAATAATAATAGGCAGTCCAGAAAACCTACATATATATATACATATATACATACATATATACATATATATATATATATATATACATATATATATACATACATACATACATACTCCTGCAAGGACCTACCTCCTGCATACAGATCGTAGGTACCTTGATTAAATATTTTGATTGATTTATATATATATATATATATATATATATATATATATATATATATATATATATATATATATATATATATATATATATATATATATATATATTTATATCTTAAAATTACTTATTGCTACTCAAGTTTCACGCCTTATTCAAGACGATCTTCAGGCAATTAATTCAGTTAGTGTTTGATTCGTCAATATCAACGGTCAACGGTCGCTCGCTGACGCGGAGGTTTGTCTATCGTCACCGGTTTGAACTTGCACGCGCTAAATTTTTCCTTGTGACAGCACTTCGCATAAAACTCTGATCGCGTGAGTAGCAATAATTAATTAAACTTGAGTAGCAAAAATTAATTTTAAGATATAAATATATCTTGCTCTACTATAATACTAGTGTTGAGCACTTTATTATCTACTACAACAAAACAAGTTATATATATATATATATATATATATATATATATATATATATATATATATATATATATATATTATTTATTTATATCTTAAAATTAATTATTGGTACTCAAGTTTCACGCCATATTCAAGACGATCTTCAAGCAATTAATTCAGTTAGTGTTTGATTCGTCAATATCAACGGTCGCTCACTGACGCGGAGGTTTGTCTATCGCCACCGGTTTGAATTTGCACGCGCTAAATTTTTCCTTGTGACAGCACTTTGCATAAAACTCTGATCGCGTGTTCAGTGAATTGTTTCCTTTCGCTTTCAGGATACATAATTTCTCTTCCAAGCAGAGGCCACATCGCTTTCCACCAGGCGTGTACGCAGCAGCTCGTTTCAAGATGGACCACTTGATGCTGTAATTTCTTCTACTTTGCTTCAGACTCCAAACGTACTTCGAAAGCTTTGTGTCGGACGAGTGGTTGTGGAGGTTGAAAGACGTTTTGTGGTTGGCGTATCTTTCTTTGAATGGGTTGGCCGTCATTCCAATATACTCTTTTGTATTTCCGTCGTCGGTTGTTGTCACCGT